GGACCGGTTTATGCGCGACAATAGTTTCACGGACCGGCCTTTAAGGTGTCGCGGATAAATACAACAAAATAAAACTAGTACCGGTACCGAAAAAAAGAAGATTTATTCATAACACACGTGAAAAGACCCAGGAAAACCGAGTTAACGATAAAAACGATAACAAAATAACGCTGAAAACTGATAAAAACCCTGAAAACTATACACCTGAGCCTCAACTCTCGCGGCCCGGTACCAAACGACTCACGGACCGGTACCGGTCCGAGGCCCGGGGGTTGGGGACCACTGCTGTAAGGGACACTGAGACTGTGAAGGAGACCAAACAGGTGTGCTCGAAGTAAAGAGATCTTCACTCTGTACATTAACTTTACATCAGCAGGTGTTTGCTTGTGCATAAACCCTCCAACCCTGCCAATAAATATCATCGTGGTCGCTCATTTAGGGCCAAGACATTTGTCCAGATCTATTTTTTTTCAGCTTGTTTGGTTTTTTAAGGTGAGATCATGACTCCGCCCTCCTGAAAGAGTAGTGGAATGTCAGAAAGCAGTACTCGAGTAAATGTACTTCTACTTTCCTCGTTAGTTTGCGCGTACACAGTCGGCCGGTGTGACCTGAGCTGACCGTGGGGCGGGCAGCGTCGACCTCGGCGGTGTCAGATTTGACCCAGAAAGTAGCGGCGCTGCACTGATCCTGTTCATTTGGGGGGGATTTTGGTCACAGATTACAAAAGCTCAATACCATTTGTTTAGTAACAAGCATGTGAAGTCAACACTAATAAAAACGCTGCAGGACCTCGTTACAGGCTTAAGGGCTGTTGAGCACATCCAGCGCTGAGGGAGCAGAAGCTCCCGCTAAGCTTTCCAAGTACTTCTTTGATTGTTCGGTCAAAATCTCCTCCGAAAGCCGCAGAACAAAACCAGAGGAGGGATTATCCTCCTTTGGAGAGGAAATGAAATTCTTCAGAGGCACTTAAACGGGTTCCAGCTTCTGCGAGTGGGTGTTGGGGGGAAATACGAGCGGCGCTGTACGACTTGTTAGCTCCAACAATTTGACACATCATCCAAAAAACGAGGCTCCCTCATTAGAACAACAGAAAGCGCAGCTCGGCAAAACCAAACATCAAATCCTGAAAGATGAAGCCAATGAGGAGGGAAAAGCTGCAGTTCCTCTAATGTCCAGCAGAGGCACCAGCAGTGAGTCAGTCCCCATAGAAATAAACATGTTTACAGCCTGACACACAAACTGCTTCGTCTCTGTGGATAATTACCACCTCTGTAACACCTGTACAGGTGGAGAATGCTTAAATTGTATTAAAGCTTAACATTTGCGATAATAGGGGCGTGGCCTCTTTGACTGACATCACTAGCATTACCTGATAACTTAGTGCTTTACCTGTCTTGCAAAAACCAGGACGGTGATGACCACAATACTTAAACCAGTGATGTCACAGTAGCTACAGCCATCATTTATTTACAGCTTATATTTTTAAGACACACCCTCTAATGATAGCTGTAACAATGACTGAAGGGGGGGGGGGGTCAGGGTGATGGACAGGAAACTGATGTTTATGTCCAGTTTCAAATCAGTATCTTAACCACATCTGTGCCTGTGTGATGCACAATTACAGTTTATTAGTGCATCTTCTTCATAGAGCTTGCTAGCATTAGCTTATAGCGCAGCACTCTACCCTCGGGTGCTGAATGTAGTCCCTTCTGGCATTATCCAGAGCACTACTGTTGAGACTTCAGCCTTTTATGTACAGCCTAAGGTTTACCATCAAGGCCTGAATCTGTCGAGCTAAGCAGACAGCAGCTTTTCTTTGCTGTTCGCTGTAGTTAGCGTGTACGCATTAACAAGCTAACTACAGTAGCTTGTTAATGCGTACAAGCTACTGTAGTTAGC